AGCAGGACAATGTCTCCAAACGTACTGCCAATGTCATGAAGAACTATCTTCAGCGTAAAGAAGAACAAGGAGTCCTGGAAGTGATGGTTTGGCCCCCACAGAGCCCTGATCTCAACATCACGGAGTCTGTCTGGGATTACATGAAGAGACAAGGATTTGAGGCAGCCTACATCCGCAGGAGATCTGTAGTTAGTTCTCCAAGATGTTTGGAACAACCTACCTGCCGAGTTCCTTCAAAAACTGTGTGCAAGTGTACCTAGAAGAATTGATGCTGTTTTGAAGGCAAAGGGTGGTCACGCCAAATATTGATCTGATTTGGGATTTTCTTCTGTGTGCTCACTTTGCATTTTGTATATTGATAAATATAAACAATTACAATATTTTTGAAAGCATTCTTACTTTACAGCATTTTTTCACACCTGCCTAAAACTTTTGCACAGTAGTGTATATATATATACTGTATATTGTGTGTGTGTATATATATATAGTATGTAGTATATAGAGAGCATGAAGGTTTGAGAATACAGTAAGCCGAGACTTCATTCCAATCCATCATTCCAGCCCTCCTTGACTAGAGCCAGATTCTACGCACCTGTTACTCTATGTTGTAATAAAGTAACAGGTACGTAGAATTGGGCTCTAGTCAAGGAGGGCTGGAACGACGGATTGGAATGAAGTCTCGAGCCCTTTAAGGCACGAACCTTGGCCCTGCCTGGATGGGAACTGCTGTTACGCGCCCGATCCGCTAGGAGGCGAATCCATCCCTAAGCCGCGCCTGCTCGAGGGCTGCGGCAACGCCAGGCGTTCGCTTAAGACTCTTTTGGTCCCACGCGGCGCCCGTCGTTGTTCCCTGAACTGTACCCGCGAAACGCCGAAGTTGGCTGAAGCGCCTTCCCTCCCGTCGTCCCCGACCCGCCTTCGTTCCGGACGAAAGCGGACTTGGGCGCGAGCTCCGCCAGAGATCCGCGGCCGCGTAAGTGAGACGGGCTCGGCCGGGCGTGGTCCCGCTGCCGGCGGGGACAGGGGGGATCCGCAGGCCTTCCCCCTTCCCTCTCTTGGAGGAGCGGTCCGGGTCAAGACCCTGCGGGGAGCAGGGCTCGGCAGTCAGCCTCGGCTGCTGTCGGGAGGATGCGGAGGCACGGGGTTAATTTTCCCCGTGTCAGGCCTCCGCTTCTGCCGCACCGGCCCCCAGCACGTGTTTTATCCGAAGGGGGACCGCCGGATTTATAATCATTCCTGTTGTTGTTTTATCAGAAGGGGGAGCTCTCGAAGTGAGGCTGCTGGATTTATAATTATTACCATTGTTGTTGTTATCTACTTCAGATTAGTCTGAAACACTGGTAATGGCCTGAATATACAGCAGGAGTAAATGCCGGAATCCATGCGCTCAAGCCCTCGTTTCAGAATCTAGGAGGGCCACTGCATCAAGCAAGAATCCGTCTAAGCCAGTGCTCTGTGTCCTGCAGCGGTCAGCCAGATGCCTTCCGGAAGCCCACCAGCAGGGCATGAGGGCCATCCATCTGTCCCTCTGTCACCTACCCCCAGCAACAGGTATTCAGAGACATACATTGAGCCATGGGAAGCGAACCTGTTAGATTGTTCTTTAGAAGGATCTTGTGCCCAGTTCTGTGCATATTTACATGGAAATAAATCATGTGGAACTCAGGGGGCCACCTCCCAAGTAACAGCAGATAAGGGTCACTATAGTGTGTTATAGATGGTCTGAACTGTTGACTTAAAAAGGGATTTCTTACTCTGCTGTTGTTTCCTTGAGAGTTCAACCCATGTTGATCGGATTTTTTTAAAAAAAATCTTCATGAATTGTTCATTAATTTGGATTTTTGTATCAGGGTTTGTAATTGTATTTGTACTCAGTGATGCATTATGCCGTTTTGATACTATAATGCCCAGCAAAATAACTGTAGCCTTGCTTATATCACTGATGATATGCTTAGCAGATTGTGGCCTTCTCTGTTCATGCATCCTCTTACAGTACTGTTATACAGGTAGTCTTCACTTACCAACCACTTGTTCAATGACCATTCTTTACCACCCATTTGCAGGGTCCCTCAGTCACATGGTCGCCATTACAATCAGTATGCACTGTCCTCCTGATTGTACGGAAAGGGATTTCAAGAAAGTAAGCTGTTTGCTCTTTTACACATTGAAAGCAATGCGATTGTGCAAGCAGCCCAGGGCTGGGAGCCATGAGCGTGCTACGCAAACAGCTTACACTACTCTCTTGAAACCCCTTTGTCTCCAGTCTCTTTGCTCTGGGGGCAGGGGGCAGTTTCTTTAGGCAATCTCTCCTTTGCCTGACCCTTTCCACTGCTGGTGCAATTGCATTGCTCTTGATGTGTAGAACAGCAAAAACCTTATTCTCTTGAAATCCCTCTTCAATCTCTCTGCTCTGGGGCGGGGGGGCATTCCGGTCATTGTCCAGGTGGTAGTTTTGGGAATTGCTTCTCATCTGTACAGAGGTGGAGATGGCAACCAGGTGTTGCTCAACGTCATTGGTATACCTCCACCTCTGGACAGTTCTGGACAATTTTCATTGAGTCTCCTACCTTCCTTTGTTAGGGAAATTTGTTGTGAAGGTAGTAAGCTTTGAAGGACACCGAGGAAACATTATCTGGACTCCTTCCGTTCAGGCGTCAGGCCAGGACATTGGTCACACTTATTGTCACATTGGTCATTACTTATGGCAGGCTCACGTTGGGCAGAATGCACTCACTCCTGGCCCTCCTTGATTCCTCAGTGGTCTTCAACACCATTGATCATGGTATCCTTCTGGACTGGTTCAAAAGATTGGGAGTGAGAGACGCAGTGTTGTGATGGTTTCAGTAGGTGTTTGTAGGGGGGCTATGTGTATGAAAGGTCTAACCTTAATCCTCTGCTTTGCAGGGGGCCTTAGGAGTCCATTCTTTCCCTACTTTTGTTTAACGTTTATGTGAGGTCATCCATTGGTATGGGGTCAAGTATCAGTACAGGTAGTCCTCGACTTACGACCACAATTGGGACCAGAATTTCTGTTACTAAGTGATGTGGTCATAAAGCACAACATCACGTGACTGCATCGCTTAGCAGTGGCAATCCTGGCATTCCCTGTTACTGTCATTAAGCAAATTCCACTGGTCATTAGCCGAGGATCCACCCCAATCCAAGCTATTCCAGGCCTTGGTTCTTCCAAGGTAAGGGACTGCCTCCCCTTCAACTCCCCCTCATTCCTCCCCATCTCTGCCCTTTTGGTCACCCTGCACCCTGCCTTGCAGGGCAGCAAGCAGCCCCAGAACAGTGTGGCTCTGGGGCTGCTTGCAACACTGCAGCTCAGGGGCTGCAAGAAGCCCCTTAGCTGCAGCATGAAGCTGCAGCCACCCCCAGAAGCCTCAGCCACCTCACCTTGGCCTAGCAGCATGGTGCAAAGCCGCCGTGCCCCTGGAAGTCCCAGCAATGCAGTGCTAACCCTAACTTCGAATGGTTGCTGAACAAATGGTGGTAAGTTGAGGACTACCTGTATGCTGATAATCCTCAGTTACACATTGCTGTCTCAGTTCTGTCCCAATACCTAGAAACTATGGAGGTCTGGATGTGGGAAAACAACCCTAGCAAGACTAAAGTAGCTGTTGGTTTTGGGTCCCCTGGGTCCAGTTCTGAGGATTTTCTTCCCCTAGTTCTAGTGTTGTGCTTCCCCACTCAGAGTTGGTGTGCAGTTTGGGGATCCTCCTAGACACATAGCTCCTGCTTGAGGAGCAGTGGCAACCATGGCCAGGAAGTCTTTTGTACAACTTTGTCTTGTGTACACCTTAGGCGTGAAAGCTGGCTGGGTGACTTTGGGCCAGTCCACCTCTCTCAGCCCAACTCACCTCGCAGGGTGGTGGTTGTGGGGAAAATAGGAGGCAGAAGGAGTATTAGGTATGCTCACCGCCTTGAGTTATATAAAAATGATAAAGGCGGGATAAAAAATCTAAAAAAAATTGCACCATTTCTGGATTTTAAGATCCTGCTTAATATCCACGGTATCCATGCTGTAGTCATCTCTGGCTGGACTTCCATAACATACTCTTCATGGGGCTGCCCCTAAAGACCACATGGAAGCTGCAGCTGGTCCAGGTTGCAGCAGCATGGGTAATAATCAGTGGGCCCCTGGGTAACACTGCTGCTTTGCAAGCTGCACTGGCTTCCATTAGGATTCCAGGTGCAATTCAAGATGCTGGTTATCACCAATAAAGCCCAGGTTACTTGTGGAATTGCCTTTCTCCAGTTTTCTCTGCCTGTCTCCTGAGGTCTTATGAGGGTTGGGGAGCATACTCCAGACCCCTTCTTTGCAGCCTTGTCACCTAATGTGGCCTAGGAGATGTGGCTTCTTTATCGTTGTACCTGCCCTTTGAAATGAGCTCCCCCCACCCAAGTTCGGTTGGCCTTGATCCTTTTGGACTTCTGTAGAATTGTAAAAACCTGGCTTTTCTTCTATGTGCTGGACCAGAATAGTAGATGAGACTGTTTTTTGATAAGACTGTATGTCATTATTGCCAGCCTTGATTATGTGATGATTATGTGCTGTTTTTGCTGTCTTGTTTTGGTTCTGTATACTATTTACTTTCTTTTTAATTTTTTAATTTTCTTTTCTGATTTTTATTGCTTTGTACCACCCAGAGTCACAACTTATGAGAGGAACAATTTTACAAATCTTTTAAGTAAATAAATCTGCCTGAATTATTTGTAATTAAATGGGGACTAAAACTTGCTGCTGGCCTCTCTGGAGTTGTCAGTAGAACTATGACTAGCAGTGTGCAGTTACCTTGCATGAAACTTCCAGAGTGCTGTGCTTTTGAATATAAGATCTCTCTTTTCCTCCTCTTTGCTTTTACCTCAATGATCAGAAAGATGTGTTCCCTAGCACTCTTCCCACCTCCACCTCCTCCAGGAGACGTCACCCTTTATGAATTCAACAATGCCCTGGTTTCTGGCCGTAGCTATGAGAAGCTTCCACTTACTTTCCAAGGTCAGGTAAGTCACAGTTTCTGACCACAGGAAGAAATCAGCTACCATCCTATCCTTGCTGACAATAGGGAGCTTTCCGAAAGTAAATGTCAAATGGGTACTTGACATGATTCTTGAGGATGAGGACAATAAGGCAAGGGAGAGAAACAAACTGAACTTTTCTTTCATCTGCCTGAAAAGATGAGTGAGTGGTCTCTGCCTCTGGTGGATCAATACTTCAGTTCTTTGTTGGATTGAATGAAATATTTCTGGTAGGGCTACCGGATCTGGATTGCAAAAATCCAGATATCCATTAAATGGGAGCAGAGTGGTGGAGAAAAGTCTAATTCTTTGCTGCCATTTAATGGTTGCCTGGATTCTTGCAGTTCACCTCTGGTAGCCTTCATTTTCAGTGGCTTGGGAAAAATTATAAAGTGGTAGGAATCAGCCTCAAGATATTGGTATGAACTGGGAAGGGCAGAATTGCTTGAAAGCAGTACATGACTCCTGGGTGGGTGGGTGGGTGGGTGGGTTGGCTAATCCCCGTCAGAAGGCCTTCAGAAACAGTGACTGAGCAGACTCGTGTGAACTAGAAAAGGAGTGTTTGAGCAGAGAGGAAAGTATTCCAGATAACAATAAGCTGGGTTTGTATGCATTTGACCAAGAATAACAGAATTCTTATCCAACAAAATCTTTAATTCTGTGACTTATTTTCCATAATGCTTAAGTAATATTTCTGCTAGTTACAAGGAAAGTCCACACATAAAGCTCTATACTTTTAACTAGAAGTTTTATTTCTAGCTTTTTGAATGTCTGTATGTGCTACCTTGGCAATTTGAAGTGTGGAGGGAGAGAAAAGGAAAAAAGTTTCCATATTCTAAATTCCAATTAGTACCTGCAGGCTGTAAAAAATATAGAAAAGTCAGGTGCACTATTACTCATTCTGCCTGTAAACTGAAGTGAAACTGGAACCTTGGTTGGTTGTTCTACTTTCCAGCTCTTTTTTTTTTTTGGTACAAATAATTCTGGTCAAGGCATTTCATTTTTTTCTTAATTCTCTGGATAATTGTACAGATGGAAGATCTGCCCACCCTCACTATCCCCAAAGAAAATCTGAAAGCTTTCAGTCGACTGGAATACAGCACCAAGCCTGCCTTCATTCATCATCGTGAGTCTCTGTGGAAGAGGTGCATCAGAGCCTGGTGAGTTTGGATTGGGTTGGGATGAACATGTCAGAGCTATGGGTTTCCACACAGATTGTCCTCAGCTTTAAGAAAAGTTCCCAGCTGGAGAACTATAAGAGGAATGCCAACTCTTTTCCCTCCAGTGATTTGTCGCCCTGCTGTTTTCTTTTTTCATGAATTTCTCACTGAGCCAGGTCAGCTTTTGGTATCTGAGTCAGAGGAGACGAGCATTGGTGGAGAAAAGAAGGACAGGCTAGGTAGAAAGATTAAAAGTGGCAAGAAGTTTTTAGGGTGACCTCCCTTTCTAGGTGGCTAGATCAGATTTGTGTTTAAACATACAAGTCTTCTGCCCTCATGTTTTATCCCCTTGCCCAACTTACATGGTTGGTATTTCCAGTTTTAAAGAGTAGCTTGATGTTCATAACATATTTTAAATCAGTTTAGAATATTTCATTTGACGGTATGCATTTGTGTCCCAGCAGAGTTGATGCTGAAAAGGATATTTCTTACTTCAGACTGTAAGTGGGATAATAACATAGATGAATATTCTCTGTATACCCCTTCCTTTTGATTGGCATCAACCTGGCATCTTCAGTCAAATTTACACATAAGCAGTTAGAGAATAGGCTGCTAAGTTATAGTTCCTTCCTTGATGACTGTTATGGTACTGACAAGAAAAATGCAGAACTAGGCTGTGGGGGTTGGTAATCTTTTCCCCCCTCTCCTAGCATTAAGGGCACAGAGAGAGAGAGAGAGAATGCCTGCATCATAATTCTCCAGCATTTTATAGGTGGAGAACCAGCATAACATTATGGCAGCTGTACTTGGTCTTCTGGCCAGAATGCAGCTTGATGTGCATTGCAGTATGTTTTCCCTGGATGGTGATGGTGATGACAAACTCGCCCAGTTTTCCTTGACTATTCTTATAGAAGAATAAGTGGGAAAATTACCCGGTAGAGTCGAACAAATTGAAGAAGGTTTTGCTTCTAAGTTTAAATTTTTACAACAGGCCTGTCTTTGGTGTCTGAGGAGAATCTTGGGTACTTGGGTGACCAGTGAGTCAGGAGGATAGGGAATAAAAACCATGAGGCTGGGTCACAGAACACTCAAGCTTCTCAGTGCTTGATGGCAAAATCTGAAGTCACTTTGTACGATGCACATCAAATTTCTAGCTGCACATGGAACATAACGTAATCACACGCCCCCCCCCTTTCACCTATAACACCTTTCATACAACATATTTTCTTTAGGCGTGACATTGGAGTGGCTGGTGTGCTTGAAGAGCTTGCAAACGCAGAAGAGGAACAGGACTTGGACCAGGGAATGAATGAGCAGTCTTGGGTGGAATCATCAAAGGAGCTAGGTAGTTTACTGAGACTTTTATAGCTTGACCCCTTGAGGAGTGAATAGGAAAATCCTTTCTTAGCTCTGTCTCAAAATCGCAGGTTTTTCTAGAAACTTAGGAGCTGGTATCAGTGCAATAATAAGGGCAAATGAGAAGGCAAGAGTGGTGTAGCTGCGATAACCACCACCCCGTTCATCCCCAGGATTGATTTGATTAAATTAAATCAGAAAGAGATCCCTTCCTGATGGATTTCTCATGTTTGCCCCTCCCAAAGCTTACTGGAAGAATGTTATGCTGTCTCCCTGGTAAGAGGAGTAGCTCCTTTCTCTGGCAAGGATATAACGTTTCCAAATGTGACTTTTGTTGGAAAGAAAGATAAAAAGTTGTTGAAGATAAGATTTAAGCATGAGAAGAGAAAATTGATCCAGCCTATGAGGTCATTTTTCAAAACATGCACATATTCAGCAGTTGGTGGCACACCTGATATCGTCTGTATTATCTTTCAGTTTTGCAATGGATGAAATCTGGATCTCGATGTGCATTAGCACTCTGCTGTTGGATATCCTCCCTCCATGGCTCCTTCTTTCCCCATTTGTCGGTGAGGTTTGCGTAACATAGCCCGAGTAGAACAGAAGGGCAAGGGCAGTTAGTGACTGGGAAGCATGCCAGTCCATACTGGAATCGTATGGTACAGTAACTGGTTGAGATGCCAGCTATGATAGCGTGCCATTCTTTCTGTTTCTTGGAGAGAATCTTTCCTTCTCTGTTCCGCTAGTTTCTCCTGGGTATTCAGATACAGTCAACTCTGAAGTGGCTACCAGTGAAGCATTAACATTGGTGTTTACTCTTTCTCAAAGCTGCCAAGTGAAGACATCATAGCAAAATTCTCCCAGGCTGTGGATTGGTGAGTCCTAGGCATTTGCATGTGTTTTTTTTTTTTTTGGCATTAATATTGTTTTGTTCAGTTGTACAGCTGTTTGGAATTAATATTTTTGCAACCTTCTGTAGCCCACCAAATACAGTGGTACCTCTACTTACGAACGCCCCTACTTACGAAATTTTCGAGATACGA